CTGCAATTTTATGTGCTTCCACCTTAAGTGTTTCGTGGTACGCGATGCTCTCGACTAGGTGCAACTACTACTGTAGCTACGAAGATCGAACATTAAAATGCTGTTTGCGGCTTCTCAGGGCCTGTATTTATACTCTCAGTTTGGTGGCGTCCCGGGGTAAGGGGCCGCAGGGCCCACGTGGATGCATGAAATTATCACGTGAGACTATTTAGGAAAGCACGTACTTGTGCGAGAGCATCGCGTGCCGGACTACTGTTGAATGATCGAATATATTGAATTATCCGCTAGTTATTCCTTCAAATTCTTACAAATATATTTCATACTTTTACACTTATTGTTTTCTATTAAGGAGACTTGAGTCGTAACAATATCGCAATCACTCCGCGTCGTTCGTTTATTTAATCAAATTTTGTGTGCCGAAACGAAGGTACTGTGCTCACGCGTAAATATTGATTGGTTTCAATGCGTTTTGGTGCAGTGGGAGACCCGTTTCAATGGTTTCGCACGTAACACCATGATGGCATTACACATTTACTATTAGTTATATAAGGGCTACAATAATATCAATACTATTCAATAAAATATGACAATAATATCGATATTATAATAAACTTATTATTGGTATCAGGTAGTATTATAATAAAGTATTATAGTTGTATAAAAGGAACGTATTTACACCGGCCCGCGACGCTCTCGAACACGTACGCGATCATTCTAATGGCGTTTTCGATTTGCGACTCGACCCGACTCGGGTATCCTGACATTACCTCCAAACACAGCGCCTTCTACAACATTCAAAAGTACACAAAAAGATACAAGTTACTCGCAAATCTTAAACCCTCTCTCCCTCTCTCTCTCTCTCTCACCCCCCTCTTCATCTACTCCTATAACTGCTTTTCCTCTTCCTTGACCCTGTGCTCTCCTCACATTTTCCTCCGTTCCTTCCTATCTTCATTCCAGTAAATTTCCCTTCCATTAGTCCACAGACGGCTACTTGTGGCAACCATCGAGTTTCCTAGGCTTCTCTCTCTTCTTGCCTTTTCTTCAATCCTCCATCTCACGTATCTTTCTTCTCTGGTCAGTTCCTCATCCACCATTACTCTCCATCTCTTCTTTATTTCCCACCGTTTGCTAAAGAGTTTCTTTTTGTCTTCTTCCTCTTCCATTTCCACTAACATTAACTCTTTCTTTCCCTCACTTTTAATCTCCACCACACCTTTGACTTCCACCTTCATGTCCAGCGCCATTTCAGCTATGATCTCCATAAATTCTTTCCTTTCTACTGGTCCTGTACCCGCTGATCCGCTCCATACCAGAGATCTTCTTCTCTTTGCTGCTCTTTCTTTTTCTGCTCTATCCTCTCTATGCGCGCTCTCTCTCTCCCTCCCCCCCTCTCTCTCTCTCTCTCTCTCTCTCTCTCTCTCTCTTACGCTTCTGTCTCTTTCACTTCTCACTTTCTCTTCTCTTCTCTTCACCATCTCTCTAGCATTATACTTTTCACTCTCTGCGACTCTATCTTTCCTTTCTGCATCTTTGCCTCGATAGCTACCTGTCACCCCGTCTCCTCTCCGCTCCCTCCATTCCGCCTTGCTCGCCGATCCATCTTTGCTCGCTCTTTTGCAACGCTCCTTCTCCTCTTCCGTTTTCATGTCACCTCTTCTTTCCATTGTCCACTCTTGCGAGACACTGCCTTTTCCCCTGCCCTCTCTTCTGTCAGAATTCCTCGATTCTTCGCCATTCACCTCCTCCTCGCTCGCCAGCTCTTCCCGCTCGCTTCTGCTTCGTCCTTTGTAACCCCCTCCTCTTTCTGTGCGGCTCACCCCTTCGTGTTTTGAACTTTCTTTCTCACACCTTCCTTTATCGACTTTCTCTTCTCTTTCTATCTCTTCCTCCCTGAGCTTCTCCTCAACATCTGTGTCGCCATCACTTTCGTCTACCTCACTCTTCTCAGACTCTACTCGTCCTTCACTTTCTTTCCTTTGTCTCTCTGGAACCTGACTCTTTTCCATTCTCTCTAGCCGCCTCCTTATCCGCTTCATTTCTTGTCTGAGTTCCTTCACTTCCCGTTTTACCTCTTTCAGGGTTTCCCTCAGTTCGTCATATTTTGACAGTTAAGTAGGAACATATTTGAGTTGGCGAAAAATGATTCTCTGAAACCGCACGTGTGTGTAGATAATTCAGGAGAAAATATATATTCTACATTTCAAAATACATTTGCACACTACGTACCAAAAATATATAATATGATAACGTAGTTTTTGCTATTCAATTGATTGAATTTTAGAAAAAAAAAAGATATAAAGTATATAACTATGTCAGTCAATAAAGAGACATAGACGCAATTTGAATCATATATATTTAATTGTCTGCTCATTATAACATAAAGCCAGATATATATAAAAATGTATAAATTGTGACGACAACGACGATGTCCTCACGGTCTCGTCGGCCGTGAAGGGACGCGCCGCCGCGGCGCCGCTTTTATTCACTAACAATCTTAAAAAAAATCAATCACGACAAGACTCTCAGAAACCCAGATGATAGCTCGACTAAATAATTCCTCGAAATATTGGGCGCCAGGTGCGATTCCTCGCACCACGATCCACAAGATCGCCATTCTCTCAGGTGTGAGTTTCTTTGGGTAATCGCGGTCGGAGGAGGAGAGGGAACGCAGTTAACACACGCAAATAACAATAATACAAATATAATGTATTTGACAGAAAATAAGGAGGGTATCGGCCAATAACGAGCGAAAACAAATTAGTTGGAATTATCGATTTTTTCAAATGTATTGTCAACAATGTTGAAGGAACGTTTCGGCACACCGTGCCTTCTTCAACCTCATAATATACATTAAAATAAACGCTTCAGACTATTTTTACAATCAAAAAATACCTTAGATATTATGAAGTCGAAATTTACAACTATGTATGGATTTAACCAATGAATCTCAATGCCGTTGACAGCCTGAGTTATCTCGGTGCGCATTCTCTTGAAAATCTTCATTTTAAATCGGACAGGATCCATGATTACTTCCTCAGTGGACAATGGAATCAATCGTGTCAGTCAGCGAAGCCAGTTCGTCACAATAGGAGTCAAATATATAAAATTAGAACGCGTGTGAACTGTAATGTAATGAAGTGAATTAAGTTATTTGTCAAAAAGTAAAATAGTAACAAAGGTTAACGATTCTACGTACTAAATTGTGGAAACACCGAGAGCTATATTTAAGTACCGTACTGATTCAAATCCTCCGTGCGACTGGGCAATAACGTCGTGACACAGTCAACCAACAATAAAGACTGTCGGTCTATAAGAAAACTAAGTCCCTATGAATTCTTACTAAGTTCGCTTAAGATACTAAAATATGACCCATCAAGTAATTCAGTATCTTTATTGGAATTAATGCCGTTTTTTTGTTCCTTTATGTGAATCATTTCAGAAATCAGCCTTTTATGATAATTTGTCTCGAAATCTAATATTAAAGGATTATTCCAATTGAAACTATGGTTGAGATTTTGCATATGTTCCGTTATGACCGAATGCTTTGATGGATCCAATCTAAAGTTGGTTCTGTGTTCATTAATTCTTGTTTTTAATTGCCTTTTGGTTTGCCCCACATAAGAGGCATCGCAATTGTTACAATTGATTTTGTAGATGACATTATTATTCACGCACAATTCAGAAACATCTTTATGTGTTCTAATAAATTTGTTTAATTTGTTCAGCACTCTGTAACCAATTACATGTTCGTTTTTATTAAAGAAACGAGATACTTTTTCCGAAATATTATTGATAAATGGTATAACAATAATTTCTCTTCCATCATTGTCATCCGAATCAATTGTATCAATTTTATTTCTATTCATAAGTTTGCCGTTGAACAATTTATTCAATCTTATGTTGATTTGTTTGAAAATTAAATTTAAGGGATAACCATTAGCAATTAACAATTCGATAACATATTTAATGTTCTTAGAATGGAACGTAGGATGAGATAAAAATATGGCTCTATCGACTAACCCGTATATTGTGCCGATTTTATGGCATTCCGGATGGTTCGAATAATAGGATAAGTATCTGCCTGAGAATGTATCCTTATGATACCAATCTATGACAATAGTGTCATCAATCACAAGTAGTTGTAAATCCAAAAAGCTTAACTTACGATCCTTTTCAAATTCAATGGTAAATTTAAGTCTTTCGTGGTAACTATTAAATTTGTTTAAACCGTAATGTGCTTTGTCGCGTGGAACAGGCAAAATTATGTCATCAACGTAACGGAAATAAAACAATAATTCGAAATCCAACGATTCTAATATTGATTCCTCCAAATCTTGCATGACAATGTCAGCAATAATCGGGGACAGCGGAGAGCCCATGGGGGAACCAAAGGTCTGCTTATATGTCACGTTGTTGAATGTGAAATATGTAGATGATAATATGAATTCTATGGCCATTAAAAACTCTTTTTCGGGGATTTTGGTGCCTTTACTAATATCCGGCCATCTTTTTTTGATGCTCTCCAATGCAAGATTTAGAGGAATATTCGTAAAAAGAGCAGTCGCATCTAAAGATATGAGAATGTCTGAGTTTCTCAATATCTTACCAGAGAGTTCCTTGCATAAGTCAAAGCTATTGTTCACATGGCTTCTTGTTATAGGAATGTTATCGGAAATAATCCTTTGTAAATAACTGGCAAAGGAATAAAGTGCTGTATTAATTGAGGACACAATTAGTCGGAACGGATTATTAGGCTTGTGAATTTTTGGAAGGGCATACGCTTTAGGTAATAATGCGTCACTGGAATGCATTCTGAAATAATCTTGTTTCGAAATGTAGTTTTTGTTAAACCATAATTTAAGTAAATTGTTACATTTGTTTTCAATTTGTTTTGCGGGGTTCTTATTTATCACTGTATAAGTACTATCATCTTTTAACATATCTTCTGTTTTTTTAATGTATTCAACTCTATTCGTCGCAACAGTGATATTACCTTTATCTGCCCGTGTAAAAATAATATTAGGATTGTTTTTACAAAACCTCTGGGTAATTTTATAGCTAGTAAGAAGCTTCATGTTGATATTATTAATAGTGGGTTTAGAATGTAAGTAATTATGTAATTGTGGGATAACTGCATTTCTAATTCGAGAGAGGTTGCTAATGTTTTGACGTTTAGTATTCCCTTCTATATCTTTAATAAACTCGTGTATATTCTTCTTTCTGTTTAAACTGTTCGGGAGGCAAAAATTACTTCCCAACTGCAACAATCCAGTAACATCCTGAGGGATGACAATGTTAGAGAGATTGACAAACCATTTGTCATTGGTTTTTTTCAAAGGGTCAATAGTTACATCTATGAATTCTTCTGGTTGGATGAAAGTTTCAATTACAGTGTTGAGTGGATTGTTGGGAGGTTTTTTACGTGTGTATTGTACTTCGTTAGGGTTGTTTTTATTAATGATCGAAAACATTGTTATTGCTTTCGATGATTTAATTTGATTAAGTTTACTTTTATGGACTAGCCAATTAAATTTTTTGTTGCTAGACATCTCTAATCTACTTTGCAGGTTTAACAAAGGAGTATTATAATGCGCCTGAATGTCATTCCAAATGTATACTGGTAATATGTTGGATAATTTGTTGGAAAGGAAGCCAATCTTTTTATGTAAGTAATCTACTGTTCTGTGTAAATCGAAAATCTCAATGTTTAAAATGACAATTGACAGAAAATGTTACGTCAGAATAAATCAGCAAGTTGTTTCAGACTGAATCGGTGAATTACAATCTTAGAGAGAAGATTACTTCAGAATAAATCGGCAGGTTTCTTTAAAATGAATCGGTGAATTACAATTTTTCTCTCGGATATTTTTCTGCGGAACGCGGAAACTATGAGATACAATAACGCGGAAATTAGTCTAAGGACGCAACTGATGAGACGCAGTTACACGACCGCAATACACAATACGCGATTACATGAACACGATACCCGAGACGCAGTTACCCGAACGTAATACACCATACGCGATTACACGAACGCAAGACACAATACCTACGCGCGACGGTTTCCCAACGGCCGAATACCCACCCGCGACGCCGCGACGTCTCGCGAATGGTCCCAAAATGGCTAGACGCGGGCCTCCCGCGAAAAGCCCCAAAGGCCCAATACAGGTGCCTCACGCCCCGGGACGTGATTGCGCGAACATTACTCCCCCGTTCTGCGACAATACGGTCCACCTCGGCGCGAAGGACACCTCGCTACATTACCCGTCAACACAAAACGCTATTACACAAAACGCTAAGACTACACGACGAATACTATCGAAACGAATCACACGGTGACTGTCGGCCGCGTACGATTTTTCGAGCAAGGCGATCCCATTTTACTCTGTTGGCCGGGCCCTCCGTTAGTACTCTATTTAATAATTACTTGCTCGGTAGTTCTCATCAGCACAAACGCGATGCTACCAAATACTTCGCGACACGGTACGCGATTCTCTAAGCATGCTTCCCGCGGCTCTACGCGGCTCTCGGAAGGGCCCCGGCCGTCAGAACGATCTTACTTGTATACCCAGACGTGGGTTACGAGATGCTCGAATAGTGGCCTTACAAATTCCGCAAGCTCGGCTGCCGGTCCTCTCGGGATCACGTCGGGCCCGCGCCTGCGCGCGCCGTGCTTGCAAGCTCCCGCTTCCGTCGGCGCCCCTCGTGGCTTCCTCGCTCGCCGGCGGCAGGTTTGAAAAGCCTATTCTCGAGTCCGGCTGACCGGGTCGCGACTCTGGTGCCGGTGTACGACGACCAGGCTGGCCAAACCATGGCTCCGTCGACCGGTAGGCAATGCTCCGTGGCGATCTCCCTCCTTCGCGATTCGGCAGGCTTCATCCCGGCGAACATCGGGGCTGATGCGCTCGCCCTGCGAGACGCTCCAAGCAACGTCGGCATATGGGCCCAATCGTGACCCGCCCGCCGGCCAACTCCTAGAACGCCTCCCGTAAACTCCCACGGCGCG